CCGGCACCGGGTACCTTCCCATCGGGGTCACCTCCCACCGGGCACCTCATACCAGGCGCCAACAGCGGGCACCGACAGCAGGCACCTCGCACCGGGCACTCCTCACTGGAGTCACTCAGCACCGGGCACACCTTATCGAGGTCACCTCACACGCAGCACCAGCACCGACATCAGGTCCTGACACCGGGGACTGCCACTTGGCACCTCACACCATACACAGGCAGCGGGCACCCTTCCTCGGGGACACCTCACACTGTGCACCAGCACTGCACATAAGACACCGGGCATCCCTCACTGGGGTCAGGTCACACGGGGCAGCAGCACCACACCAGGGCACTTCACATCAGGCACCTCAGGTCAGACACCTCATACCAGGCACTAATACTGGGCACCAGCACCGAACACCACTCACTGGGGTGACCTCACACCTGCCACCTCACACTGGGCACCCCTTATCAATCACTTCACACCAGTCACCTCACACTGGTCACACCACACTGGTCCCCTCTCACCAGTGACCTTGCCCTGATCACCACCCACTGGTCACCCACCACTGCCATGGTCACCACAGGGACATGCCACCCCAATCAGGTCCCTGCTGTGGCCACAGGAGGGAGGGGTGATGGTGGCACCCTCACCGTGCCTCCCCCACATCCAGAGGATTCCTGGTAACCCAGCTTAGGGGCCAAAACAGCAGGAAAAAGCTGATGGAATTCCAGCAAGCAGCCGAGGTGGGGAGAGGAGGGCAGCGGTGGGGTAGTTTGCCCCATCAGTAGCCCCTGGGTGCTGCTGCACATGCCGGGAGCTGTGCCCAAAGGATGCTGTGCCCAAGGGATGCTGTGCCCAAGGGATGAGGTGCCCAGTGGCTGTGGCTGCACACCTGGCCCTGTCACACACACAGTCAGTACCTGGCAGGTGCTACTGAACGCTGGTTGCTGTATGTTCACGTTGGATGCACCAAACATGTCCAGGTGCTGCTGGGATCCCTGTGCCCTGCAACTCCCCTTCTCAGCCCTCACAGCCCTGCCAGCAACCCCCCCCCCAAATCACAGAGACACCCACGAGCTCCCAGTAGATACTGAGAAGGGAAGGGACTTGCATGGGGATCACATCCCCACTACACCACCCATGAGTGCTGGTTGCCAAAACAAAGGGCCCCTCCCCTGCCCATCACCCTTGAAACACGTGGCTGAGTTTTCCCAAATGCAGGTGTGTCTGGAATTGAAGTATCATCATCATCCTCCCCCATGCCTGGGGACAGATTCCTCTGGCTCACTGGCTCTGCGCCGCGGCAATTCCCGTGAAGTCGCGAAGAGTGGGACCCTTCTGCTGCTCTCCTGCCTCCTCTCCTGCCTGCTCTCTTCTCCTGCCTGCTCTGCTGGCCGCACAGGGCCCGGAGCCAGCACAGGTTGGGATGCACGCACAGGGCACGTCTCTGCGGATGAGGGGCCGGGGCGCCCCAAAACCAGTTCTGCTCTCCGCGTTCGGGATCGCACCGTAACGAACTCGCGTGAACTCGCCCTGCGGAAGAAGCAGCAGCCGATGGGAAGAGCCCTCTCCTGGCCCTGGATCCGCCACTGCAGCTTCTTACAGCTCACCACCCTGTCATTAATTAACGGCTCTTGAAGCATCTGTCCCCGCTCCAGCATCGCTCTCCGGAGGGGAGAACAAATTTGGAGATGCCGCGGGAAGACCGGGCTCTCCCTGCCCCCTTCATCCTCCCCATGTGCCCTGCTGCAAGGCAGGGGAACTGTCACTGCACAAGGGACGCTGTCCTACCTCTGTCCCTGTGCTGATGTGGCATCTGTCACCGCTGTATTCTTTCATGGGGATCAGACCTGGTGAGGCAAAAGGCGCCCAGGGGATGCCCACCCACCTCGAGCCCTTCTTCAACCCCTACTTATCCCAAGTACAGCCTGTCCCTCCTGTCCCAGGAGAGGGACCTTCTGCTTTCCACGTCCTGAAGAACTGCCAGGATTCCAAACCAGGAGCATTTCTGCCCACCCCAGACTTCACAGGAGTGTGACCTTGGGAGAGGGGTCCCCAATGCCTAAAACTGCTCCCAGCATCCTGCCAAACAGCCAAAGTTTCAACCCAGGAGCATTTCTACCAAGCCCCACTTCCCAGATTTTGCAGGAAGGTGACTACCGAGGACAGGGGGAGATGCTCCAAGGGCTGGAGCCCCTCTGCTATGAAGACATGGCAGAGCTCCTCTGCTATGGGAAAGCTGGGGGTGTTCAGCCTGGTGAGGAAAAGGCTCCAGGGAGACCTTAGAGTCCCTTCCAGTGCCTGTAGAGAGATGGAGATGGATTTGGACAAGGGATGGAGTGACAGGACAAGGGGGAATGGCTTCCCACTGCCAGAAGGCAGTGTTAGATGGGATACTGGGAAGAATATTCCATTTAATATCTTTTCCTGTGAGGGTGGTAAGGCCCTGGCACAGGTTGCCCAGAGTAGCTGTGGCTGCCCCATCCCTGGAAGTGTCCAAGGCCAGGTTGGATGGGACTTGGAGCAACCTGGGATAGTGGAAATTGTCCCCTCCCCAGGGCAGGAGGGTGTAATGAGATGAGCTTTAAGGTCCCTTCTCACCCAAACATTCCATGATATGCAGTGGCACAACTGCCCTCCCCTCTCCCGCACAGGGACAGACCCATGGACACAGGACCAGGAGCCAGGGGTACATGAGATCACTTTATTGAATCCAATGGTGTTAAGACAGATGACCGAGAAGAGACATGCCAGTTGGTGCGGGCAGCGTGGGCAGCAGGAGCTGACTTGGTGCAGGGCTGGAATTGTTTCTGTCTTTTCGGAATATCCTCAAGCCTCTTCCTGGCTTCCTTTTATGCTTCTTTTAAAATTTCTTTGAAGTAAAAACAACTAATCGTGGAAAGAGTCCAGATGGTGTTTGTTTGTTCCCTATGATTGTTCCCGCAGCTATGTACAATGTGGGGCTGGGTCTCAACATCAGGTATAAAATGGAGCGAGTTTACAAACGTGGAGGGTGCAAGGAAAAAGCAAAGACAGACAGGCAACAGCAGTAGAAATCTGGACCAAAATCTTAAAGAGAAATTTAAAAAGTGCTATAAAACCCCTTGGCAGGAATATCATGCAGTTAAGAAACACAAAACCCAGTCAATTACACAGATCATCTAAAACAGGAATTTGTCCATTTTATCTTTTATTTAATTAAAAAAAGGTTGTTTGTGTTTAATAGAAAAAAGCTAAAATTGTAAGGTTCAGGCCACTGGGCAGCAGCAGCTCGAGGGGGCAGGAGGGTGAGGTGCTGGTGTCACCCACCTCCAGCCCCTCAGGGGGGCTCCCAGGGGCCACGGGCACCTTTGGGGGCAACTGGCACCTTTGGAGGTGAGAGGTACCCTTGGGGGGTGACGGGCAACTTTGGGGGCAACCTGCAGCTTTGCAGGTGGCAGGCACCCTTGGGGGGTGATGGGCACCCCTGGGGGCAGCAGGCATCTTTGGGGACAACAGGCACCTTTGGGGGTGACCAGCTCCCTTGGGGGTGACAGGCACCACTGGGGGCAGCAGGTACCACCTTTGGGAACAACGGGCACCCTTGGGGGGTGACAAGCTCCTTTAAGGGTGATGGACACCCTTGGAGGTGGCAGGGGGACGAGTTAGTGCAATCCTTGGACAATTCCCTGGGGACAGAGGGGCTCAGCCCACAGCCAGGGGATGGTCCCCAGACAGATGCCAGGCTTGGGGAAACGAGGTGCTTGGTGTAAGCCAGGAGGAATCCATCAGGACCTGGTTTCCCCAGCCCATGCCCATCCCAGGGCCCACCTGCTTCCCTTCCCTTGGAGACTCCTCCTGGATCACACTCCCACTTGCCACTCACCTCCAACTGCCCAGGCTGAGGTGACAGGATCAGGGGCAGCCCTGACCTGGGGAGGGACAGGGCAAACCTGCAGGACACAGGCTGGGGGACAACGAGCAGCTGGGGGGAGGACAGTCTAGTCAATGTTTTGGTGGCTCCCTGGGGGTGTCAGAAAAGAAAGCAAGCCCAGGCGAGGCTGCCCCTCCTGCCATGGGACTCCTCAGGGCACCTGGGCAGCCCCCAAAGGTGCATCTTTTCCTTCCCACCCCGGGCACCAGAGCCCTGAGGAGGGCGGGAGGGGTTGGAGGGGACAGACAGGTCCCCACTGCCGGCCTCGAGCAGCTGCTGAGCCAGTGTCTCGTACAATCAGAAAAGAAGTCAGCACAGCACAGTCATCACAGAGTACAAAAGAAACCCAAAACCAGGGACGAGGCGCAGGGCCGGGCCCCCCCCAACCCACACAGGGCGTTCCACGACAGATCTATGTACAGTGAGTCCTCGGCCGACAGCGGCAACACAAGAGAAGGCAAACAGAAAGCCCTAATGCCCAAGCCAGCGTGGGGAGGGGATCCCGGGAGATCCCCGTGGGAAGGGGCCGGGCTGGCCGGCCCGGCGGCAGCGGGAGGCTGTCGGACAGACGGAGGAGTGAGCACCATGGGGCAGCGAGGTGGAAAGCACCGGCCAAGAGCCCCGAGAGCACCGAGGGCAGAGGTGGTGGCTGCCTCTGACGGCACTGCGGGAGGCGGCCGTTCCAGAGGGGTGTGAGGCGTCCCTGAAGGCCCCACCAGCCACGGCACAGGGGGCTGAGGTTGCCCAGTCCCCAGCCTGGCAGGGTCTGAGGACTGGGTGGGCTTGGTAGACCTGGCCCTGGGGTCACCTTTCCCCAAATGTCTCTCCAGGGCCCCGGCTGATGGTGGGGGCTGAGCTGGAGGGAAGGAGGAGGCCCCCATAGGCTAGGTGGGCACAGGAGGGGGATGCTGATCTGCAGGGCACCCCACACCATGGCTGGGGACAAGCCAGCAGCTTGGTGAGTGCCAGCACCCCTGTCCCATCCTAGCCAAGCTGGTTGTGGGGACAGAGGACACTGGAGCTGGAGCAGGCTGTGACAGCACTATCCCAAGCTCCACGTGCCCCTTTTCCGCATGGCCAGGGATTAAGGCACCACAGCAGCACCAGGGCTGACCCACTCCATGCAGCAGCCTAGCCTGTGACACTGCTGGGTAAGGCCAGAGGGACACATGGCAGTCCCAGGTGTCCCCAGAGCACCAACATGGGGCACAGCAGGACCCTGCCAGGCTGCAGGAGGGCACAGGGCTGGGAGGAGCAGGCAGCAGAGGCAGCAACCCCAGGCTCATCAATCCACACCCCCAGGCCTGGCAGCACCGAGGGGATGGGGGGCAGGTTGTGCTCCTCAGCACTAAGGGGACAGGGATGGCATCCAGGTGCCCAGGGATAGGGCAGCAGCAGCCTCCCCCTGCCCTGGTACCTCAGGGAGGAGATGCCCCTGGCAGAAACTCTGCCTCCTTGTCCTGTGCTTTTGGGGAGAGGGGAGTGGCCCAGTGAGGGGCTGCTCTGGGAGCATCCCACTGCCACCAGCCTCCAAGTCCCACCTCAGCCAAGCTGTGTGGCCCCAGGAGGTGGGTTCGGGGACTGGAGATCATCCAGTGAGCACCAGTTTTGTAACAGAGGTGGTTTGAGTGGTGAAACCAACAGCTGCAAAAGAAACCAAAGGGGAAGGGCGCTGCTGCCAGGGAAGCGGAGGGCACCAGGCCACAAGCTCCAGGCCAGGAGAGCGAAGAACCAGAACAAAAAAGGGACCAAAGCAAAGTCTGGACTTGGCCAAAGGAAAAGGGGAAGGGGGAAACAAAATAAAATAACCGAAGCACGGTTTATTGGGCTGTCCTGGGCGCAGGGGCTGCCATGTGGGTGAAACGGGGAGCGTACAGGCAGCAGTGAGAGCCGCACTCCCCTCGGCCGGCGTGAGGCAGGAGCTCCCGCAGCGGCGGCTCCCTTGGCTTTGCCCAGTGGGTGCAGAGGGAGCCAGAGCCCCTCGTGCCTGCGCTCTCATCCTGCAGCCACACACTCCTCCTGTGCCCCCCAGCTTCAGCCCAGGTGGCTCCTGCAGGGTCCCTGCCCCACTCGGGGCCTTCCTGCGGCTCCCAGGAGCAGGGGCTCGGCCGCAGCGGTCACCTTGGTCCCAAAGCCCGAGAGTTTATAACAGAGACAGAAAAAACCATGAAGAGAAACCAGGATTCTCCTACCCCCAGAGTCGGGAGGGGAGATGGCACCTCGTGCTCTCCCGTGGATGAGCCGAGTTTCCCCACGCTCTGCCAGGACACACCGGAGCCCTGCTCCTTTCTGCTCGCTCGCCAGCCCCGCGCTCCTTGATGCCAAAGGAAAAGAAGAGCAGCCCAGCAGGAGCAGTGGGTGGCAGCTCCCCTCTGCCTGGGCTGGCATGTCCGGGCCTCACAGAGTCGACTGCAGGTCAGGGTCCACCATGGTCTCACGGTCTGGAGACTCGATGTAGTTGGCGGCTTCCTGGAGCTTGAGCAGCATGGCCATCTGTGGGGACAGGAGTGTGGCATGAGCATGAAGGGGATGGGAGGCCCACGGGTGCCTGGGAAAGCCACTTGGCCCTCCTTGCCGTCCTGGACAAAGCACCCATCCTGGGAAGCTCCTTAAAGGGTAAAGCAAATCCCAGGATGCTGCAAAATCCCTCCCTTGCACCAGGATCCTGGCTGGGACGCTCCAGGCTCAGTGTGCCACAGCATCACCACCAGGCATCACCTGCGGCAGCCAGTCAGCCAGCAGCCTCTCCGGGTGACATGCCAGGACGTATATGTGTGCCTGTGTGTGGCTCTGCACGTGGACACAATGCCTTGTGGAGTGTCACAACATGCCCATTCACTGGCACATCACTACGTGCCCTGGTGTGCAGCCCACCTGCCAGTACCACCACCCTGCACACACTGCTCCTCCTGGGAGCACAAAGTGCTTCTGCATCCCTAGACCGGGCTTTTTACACTGAAAATTAACTGAGAAAGCAAAGCTCCACCCTGCTCTGTCCCCTCCACCAGCCCCTCCAAGCCCACCCACAGTGCCCAGCATACCAGTGGGTCCGAGTCCAGGGAGCTGGGCGTCGTGTCCTTGACCGTGCGCTCCTCAGGGGGGGACACGGCGCTGTGGGGCCCGATGGTGGGGGGGGGCAGGTGGTACAGCTTGGACTGGTCCTGCTGTGCTGACGGCCAGGGCAGGGTGTCCCGCACCCACTCCACGGGGTCCTCCCAGGCCGCCTTCTGCCCATGAACCTGTGGCAGGGAGCAAGTCGTAGCTGACTTCTCAGCACATGCCAGAGCCAATGATGTGGCACCCCGAGCCCCCCAGGACAGTGCCATGTCCCACAGCAGCCACACAGCAGGGACTGACAGAGATGTCATCTGCACCCACAATCCCAGTACCTCCCCTTTCCCCATCATGGCTGCACCAGCATGTCCCTGCACTGGTTTGTGTTCCCATGTGCCAGCAGCACTGGGTACCTTGAGGCCATCTTTTGCCCCCTCCTGCAGGTAAGGGATGATGGAATTGTTCCACAGGTCGATGAACCAGGTCCGGAAATCCTCAATTCCAATGGGGCAGGACAGAAAGAAGCAGGGACCTGCAGGGAGAAGGCAGACAGTGGAAATGAGAGCTGGGTCTCCCTGCTCCAGTCACTGGCCCCATGGCTCACAGCACCAAGGTGGGCACACCTTGGCTGGCAGGGTGCCCTGGGAGCAGTGTCTGGGCAGCATCCACCTGACACAGTGGGCAGATATCTCCCAGGCAAGGAATGGTGTTTCCAAGTTCAATCTATCCCCAAAAGCATGGTGAGGCATGGGAGATCCACCCAGAATAACATAGTTCCTCCATGCTCCTCTGCTCCCAGGGTGGTGGGAGAACAGGCAGCCCTGGCTAACACCTCAGTGACAGCTCCCACAGGAACAAAGGCCACTCAGAGAAGAGCAATGCTGGTGTGCATCACCCACCAGCTGTGGTTGTGTGGGATTGGGGGACACAGGGAAGCACATCAGACCCCCAAGCTCCCCTGGGAGGGTTTGGCCCCAGTCCCTGGGGGCTCCCCACGGTGCATGGCAAAGGAGGGAGATGAGGCAAGGCCATACCAATGAGGAAATCAGACGTGCTGTGTTTCTCCAGGAAGGTGTGCAAGTGGTACCAGAGTTTGGGCACCCAGTCCAGCACCCGCAGCAGCTCCTCCTTGTTGGCGTTGATGTCTGTGTCTGACTCCAGCAGCTTCCGCCGCAGGTAGCGCACCAGGAAGCCGTTGGCTGGCTCCACATTGTTGGAGAAGGTCAGCATCCTGGGGGAAGGACTTGGGTGGTCAGGGCTGGGTCTCCATGCAAGCTGCCCTACTCCCCAGCACCATCAGGGGATGTCCTCACACCCCTAACCCTGCATGCGCCCGAGGCTGGGGATTCAGGGCCTGCTGGGGTGGCAGGGACAGGCCTGGGGCTCAGTCCTCATAATGGCCCCCAGACAGAAGATGTGACCCCAGAACTGCCCAGTGGTCAGTAACGGCTTCTGTCCTCCACAACTCCACAGGGTTGGTCACCAGGGATGTACAATTCCCACCTGAAGCTGAGATGGAGGCCGTGGTTGGGGGTCATCTTCACAGGCTGGTTGGTGGTCCCGATGATGTATGGGCTGAGTGAGTGATAGACAAAATCCATGAGAAAAAGCCTCCATGTCACCCCTGCCCGTGGCAGAGCTGATCTGGACACAGCAGACACGTGCAGTCTCATTCCCACAGCCCAGGGATGTCACCAGGAGCAGCGGGGAGCACGTGTGTGCCTGGGGGGCTGCGCTGGAAGGGTGCAGGGGGCTCTCACCATTTGTGGTACTTGCAGGTGAGTGCGCCGTTGACCAGCTCGCTGATGGAGCCCGCCTCGCTGAGGTCGTCCAGGAGGATCACCAGCGGCACATCCGCCGTGCCTGTCTCCCGGTCGATCTGGTTGGCCAGGTTGGACAGGTACAGCTGCAGGTCCTGCAATGAATGGGGCCGGTGTCAGGTGTGGGGCCACGGCATGATGGCCACAGGGACCACGGCAGCAGCGTGGACAGGGACACTGCTGCCCTCACCTTGCAGGACTGCTGGTGCATGTTGAAGGTGCTGACGATGCCCTCGGTGACATCCCGACCCGAGCGCTCCACCAGGTACTCAGCCAGGCGGTTGGTCAGGTAGGTCTTGCCGGTGCCACTGGGTCCCGAGAGGATGAGGCGGCGGTGCTTCAGCAGGAGGCTGATGTAGTGCTGCATCATGGGCTTGGGGATAAGTGTCTCGAACACCAGGCTGTCCACACACTTCTCCTTCAAGCCTGCAGGCAGGGGAGGGCTGAGGGTCCTGCTCACACCCTGTGACACCGTGAGAGAGCACGGACATGGCACAGCAACAGAGCCCCTCTGCCACACTGACCTTTGAGTGTCACCACGACGCTGGTCAGGCCCCGGCGGCACAGTGGCAGCTCTGGCGGCTCCGTGTCCAGCACCCGCTTGATGTGGCTGATGCTGTAACCATAGACAGACTCGGTGCTGAGCCCCAGCGTGGATGCAGGATCCATCTTGGTGATGTAATCCTATGTGGAGAAGGACAGAGCTGTCAGTGCCCCTGAGGGCTGTCAGAGAGCAGCTAGCTCCAAGACAGCTGAGAAGGACCTGGGCCAGGGAACATCAGGCATGGTGGAGCAGTATCAAAGGATGGCTCTCCAAGAGGGCTCTTCATGCTCCTACCTTGAAGACCTGGCAGACAGCCTCATCCAGCATCTTCCAGTCCACCTTCCCGCTCACCTTGGTCCAGCCCAGGAAAAACTCCTGCTGCTTGAGGTCCTAGGAGCCAAAGCAGAGGTATGCAGCATTGGAGCACCCAAGAGGGCCCTTGGCCAGAGCCATGACACAGGGACAGGTCAGGGTCCCCACAGAGCCCACACTTACCCCCTTGATGATGTGTTGGGGTGGCATGCGCACCACAATCCGCAGCGTCAGCTCGTCCTTCTGGGTGCCAGCGCTGACAGCGTCCATGGGGGACACGTCTGGGGACAGAGCAGTGAGGCTGTGCCAGCAAGGAGAGCCCAGCCACCGAGCCTGGCCATTGCCAGCCAGAGTCAAATCCTGCTGTGGCCAATGGTGGCATCAGCAGCACAACAGATCCCCTGCACACTCCAGGTGAGCAGTGGCACATTCCCACCACACACACCTCCCTGTCCCAGCCCTTCCCTGTCTGCCAGCAGCTCTGTCACCCCTACCTGCATCAGCCAGGCTGGGGCTGAAGGCATGGCCAAGGGTGAGACCCAGGGAGCGCCGCGGTGAAGAGGAGGTTGATGTGCTTGTGATATGGCTGGGAACAGAGCCTGGCACTGCTGAGGGCCCCGGGGCCACCTTGAGACGGTCGTTCTCGGCCTTCAGGAGATCCACCTCCAGCTGTGGGAGAAGCAGGTAGGACACAGGGTGAGGAGCTGGATGCCAGCAGCACCCTGGGGGGCAGCATGGCTGTGGGGGCGCAGGGACTGTGGGCATCCAGGTACTGAGAGCAGCCAGGCTCCTGGCAGGGTCCTCACCTGCATGTTGTGCATGGTCTCTCGCAGCTGCTCCAGCTGGTGGGCCGAGTTGAGGGCTTCCAGGCGGATGTCTGTCAGCTTCATCTCCTTCTCCCACAGCTCTGACCGCAGCTCAGACACCTCCTTCTTCTCCGGCTCGCCCTCATTGTGGGCCTGGAAGAGCCTGGGCCAAGAGAAACACCACATCTTGCACATGTCCAGGGCAGGAGCCTGCAGCCCCCACGACTGGCTCTCCCTGGCCCCACATACTCAGTTGTATCAATGCCCACAGAGGAGGAGGTGGAGGATTTGATGGAGGGCGAGGCAGTCTCTGTAGAGCCATGCTGCAGCTTGGGGGAGGAGGGGGCCGACGAGTCTGGCGTGGCAATCTCCTCGATGTCTGAGTAGGATGAGGCCGATTTGGGGCCTTTTTTGATGCTGAAAGCCTTGTTGAAGGAGCTGCGTAGCTACAGGAGAGGGAAATGTTCTTGTTAGAGACAGCCTGACAGTCCAGCCTCGCAGGCAGAGACCTGGCCTGGTTCTGCCCCATCTGCCCAGAACCCACAGTCTGAGCTGGGACCAGTGCCACCATACCCACCACCGAGGCAGCACTGTGCCCCACCACCATGCTGGGCTCCAGCCCAACCCTACTCTGCTGGCACAGTAGAAGGATGGGGTGCACAGCCCTTTGGGGAACACTCACCCCAGCCTGAATGGCATCAGAGACCCAAAGAGCGGGACCCACATCCTGGTCATAACATCTCCTGACCCTGCTCCCCACCAGCACCTACACTGGAATGTCCAGGCACAGCACCAGCACCCTAGTTCATTGGAACAGGCTGATCCATGCTCACATTCACCCCACCAGAGTCATCCCAGCAAGCAGTGTTTAGGGGGACGTCCCTCGCTCCAGCCACTGCAGAGCTGGGTCCTGCCCCACACCTCCCTCTGCCACATGGGCCCTGCTGGAAGAGCAGAGGGGCAGCCAGGGCAGCCAGCCCTCCGTGGGGGTCCCGGCTGGGCATGCAGCATGCACACAGCACACACAGAGCAGAGGGTGGGTGAGAGGTGGGCTGAGGCCAGGGAGGACAATGGACATTGCACAGGGACCAAACTGGATCTGGGTTCCATCAGCCTGTGGAAGAGCACTAGGACAGGCATCCCAAGCTCACACTGTGAGCACCAGGGCCTGCTCTGAGGGGAGATGGGAGGAGGAAGGGATGGAGAACACACAGGATCCATCCCAATCCCCACAGGCACCTGGCAGGCTGCTCTGGGGTGTCCCAAAAATCAAAATTGTTGCATTTCAGTGTAAAAAAAAGCGGGTATCCAGCTCTGCTGGTGGTGGGAGCAGGGGAGTGCTGGGACCCACATGGGTACTGGAAGGGACAGAGGCACTTGGGGCCACATCAGGCAGCCCTGGAGATGCAGAGATGGGCAGTGCCCCCAGTGCCACAGGCAGGGCTGCAGGGGGATCCCCATCCCAAAATATCCAGTTACAGGGAGTCAGGAGAGCACCTGCCTTCCCTGGGCAAGAAGGGGATTGTTCTAATCCAGGGGACAGGTCCCAACCGAGCCCTTCCTGCTGCCTCTGGGCAGTTAAAACCCTTCTTGTGGGTGCCTGTTTCGCCTTAGCATCCAAGGAAGCAACCAAGGTGGGCACAACCTGGCTGGGGATCCAGGATGGCCTGTGCTGAGGTTAGGGCCAGTGGGATGGATGGGATGGGGAGTGTATGAGCACCATCCCATGAAATGGAGCAAGGGCCCTGGCCGGGCACAGCATGTGGTGGAGGGGACGGCATGGGACTTACCTCATAAACCTGGAAAAAAAGGGTTGAGGTCAGCATAGGGGGAGAGAAACAAAACAAAGCAAGACTTAATCACACATCCAGAGCTGCCTGGTGCTGGGAAGGGGCTGCCTGGCTGAGGTGTACAGCCCCCCACACTGCCAGAGCCTGCAGGCAGGAGGGTGACAGGGGAAAACACAAGGAAGCAGGCATGCAGAGCCAGGGCTGGGAAACTCCCAGAGGGACAGGAGAAGTCCCAGCCAATGTGTCCATGGTGGCTACACACTCCTCATCACTGCTGTCCCCAGGGGACAAAGGAGACCAACACCATGAGGCCAAGGTAGACTGAGAGGAGCTGGTTTGTGGGGCTGACCCCGAGCCCCTGCCAGTGGCTCCCCAAGCCCCACGCCTCACGTCAAACGCCCCATCCAACCCACCCAGCTCTTCTTCTTCTTCTTCTTGGCGTCGGCATCCTTGCTGCTGCCGATGCTGGAGTGGCTGGTGATGCTGTTGAGACTGGAGATGCTGTCAGAGGAGTTCTGCCGCTTGATGCGCAGCTCTGGGGTCAGCCAGGGAAGCAGGAGAGATTGGGAAAGGAGGGATCAGCTACCTGCAACTGTCCCAGTACCAGAGCATCCTGCACTCCCCTCCCTGCACCCCGTCCCTCCTCCCACCCAACACCTTCTGAGCTCTGTTTGTAATGATGACGTGGGGCTCAGACACCATATGGGCACTGCCTCAAACCTCAGAGAGATGCCCAGAGCACACATCATCCTGCTGCTGTCCCAGTCAACCTCCCTGCCAGCACCTTGCACCCACACTGGGGTTTCGGGCCTGAAACAGCATTTATGGGAACAAAAGCAAGATCAGCAGCCAAAACTGGCAGTCAGCAAAGGGCCTGGTGAGGACGTGTCCCGGGGAGGATGACCACCTCATTCTCCTACACACGAGCATCAAGACCTGCTGTGGTGACAGCTCTGGCTGTCCAACCCTGGCTTCAGATGCTCAGGGGTCTCATGTGTGAAAGAGCTGCTGCCCAGGGAACCCTGCTGCCATGGGAGCTCCCCCTATGAGCGAGTGTGCCCTGGGGCCCTGCGCCAGCCCCAGCAGGAGCAGCCCAGCTCAGGAAGGGCTGCATCCCTGTGTGGGGAGCTGCAGCATCATGCCTTACCTTTGGGGGTGACATCAGTGCCATTCAGGGCACCCTGGATCACAGCTTGGGCCTCCGAGTTCTTCTTCTTCAGGAAGTCAATGGTCTCTCGCAGGTCCAACAGCTCCGTGTCCTGGGAGAACAGAGCCGGGAGCCATGGAGTGCATCCCAAAGGTGCAGGGCCCACCCCAAGAGCACCCTTGGGACAGACATTGCTGTAGCATCACCCAAGTCCAGCACCCCCCACCCCATGAGCCCCACCAGTGCCTGCTCAGCACCCCGACAGCACTCACCTTCTCCTCAGCAGTCTCAGCCAGGTGCCGCAGGCGGGATGTCATGCTAACCAGGCTCTGCTCAAAGGCTGCTACCAGGTTGGCCTGGGAGAAGTGGAGAAACGGGTGAACACCACACTGGGGTCAACACCCACAGCTGGGTCAGCACCCACTGCCAGGTGTGGGATACAAGAGGCTGAAGGGGGAAATCAGGGCTCCCACGGGCACATCCTGCACACGCCCTGTGCCCTGCAGGGACAGTGTTTGCGTCCTGCAGCGGCTCCCATGGGGACTCACGTTAGCAGACAGCTGGGACGTCAGTGTGGCCACCTTCTCCTGCGAGGACTCCAGCTCACGGCGCAGCTTCCGGATTTGCTGTGGGGAGAGAGTGGAGGGATGAGGGGGGCTGGGTGCTTGCCCTCACCGGGGGTAGGAGTGGGCACGAGCAGAGGGTGCGGGCTCACCTCAGACTGCATCTTCTCCTCAGCCTGGCAGCATGAGAGCAGAGAGAGGCAGACAGAGGCAGGCAGTCAGGGGGGCAGTGAGGCACAGACAGGCTCAGCATCAGGCAGAGGCATGCACAGAGCCCCCCCCGATCCCACCCACACCCCCCAGCCATGCACAAAGCAGCGCAGCACAGAGGCAGCTCTTACGGAGGAGTAAGTGGAGGATGCGCTGGAGGCCAGGGACAGCACCGATCCGTGAACTGCAACAGAGGAAAATCCAGGGTGTCAGGGTGCCTTGGACAGTGGCACCCCAGGGGCCGCAGGTCAGGGCACAGCAGGGCGCAGGGGACAGTGCTCTCAGTGGTGGGGGGCTCTGAGAGGCCTGGGGAAGGCACAGGGTAGGACAGCAGCTGCTCAGCATTGTCCATTTCTTGGTGCGTGGCTGCTGAACTCCCTGGGCACGTGGCAGGGAACACCACCCTCCACCTGTACCCTCCTCTCTGACTGATCTCGGGGGCTCTGCCACCCTCCCTGGCTGCTTGGGTTCCCTCCTCCCCAGTGCCACAGCACCCTGGGGCCAACCCAGGGACACTGGACACCCAGGGGGGTCAGAGTGGGCTGTGGCCCGGGGCAGATGCCAGCACAGAGGAGTCCACCAGGCCACTCAGGACTGCTATCCCTTCTCTGATGTCAAGGATGGGATGCACTGACTCATCCGATAGTGCTGTAGCACCAGTAGGAAGAGACAAGTGTGCAGGGAGCCCCCCAGCACCCTTGGAGCCTCCTCTGCCTGGGCAGGAGCGTAGCACACTCTCACCATCGTCCACAGGGTCCCGGAAAGAGCCCGAGCGGATCATGCCTTTGGGCTTGTCGGCCAGGGAGAGGGTGCTGCCCATCTGGGAGGTGCTGTACAGCTCGAAGGTGGAGTCGTGGGTGGGGATGCTGTTGGAGCGGGTGATCCGCGGGGCTGCGGTGGCAGTGGGGCTCACTGCAAGGAGAAAGCAGGGAGGAAGCGGGCTCAGAGTCACACTGGGGACTTGGGATGGGGAAGCAGGGCTGGGAGCGATCCACAAGAACTGGAATGCAGCAAGGAAGCAGGGATTGTGGTCCGAAAGTAGGGAGGGGCTGGGGGAAAGCTAAAAGGCAGGTTGATGCTGGGAAGACCTGGACACTAGCATCAAGATAACCACTGGGCTGAGGAACAAATCCATCACTCCAGGGCCAAGTGGGCACCACACACCAGAGACCATCACCTGCAGCTGCAGGACTCCAGCCTGCTGCCCCAACCTGTCCGTCTGGACTCCCCAAACCTGCCAGGAACATGCAGCTCCTGGTGAGTGCAAGGCAGGGCTCACCCCTTGCCTCACTGGGCACACTCAGAGGAGCAGGGACCACAGACTGAGCCCCAAAGGTGGATGAGATGACCTGAAGCAGAGGTGATGGACGTCCCTGGTCCCAACCTAGCACCACAAGCACCAGGTGCTGGGTGTTGAGCGTGGGCAAGGAGAAAAGCAGCACCCAGGGAGGCACCAGGGGAGCACAGGCAGAAGGAAGGAAGGGGGCTGGGGACTGGCAGCGGAGGGCACTGACCAATGCTGGTGAGTGGACCTTTCCCAACCAGCGCCATGGGGAGGGCAGGGGGCGAGGGCAGGTCCTGCTGCTCGTCCGACTCTGGGAGCCCACTGATGGCGTGCGAGTGGCGTCGCTCCTTGGCCTCCTCCTGGGAGTGCAGCTGGTACCTGAGGAGCCGCAGACAGACACGGTGAGATCGATGAGGACCGCCCCAGATCCTGCCCAGTGTGCTGTAGCCCAGCCTCCTCAGCTCAGGGGCACTGCCCTGGAAAGCTCCACATGCCCTCTCTCTCTCCCCAGCACCATCCAAAAGTGATTTGGGCTCTTTTACCTCAACCCTTTCTTGGGCAGGGTGTTCCTGTCGCGGTTGACACTGGAAGGGAAGGAAAAACTGAATGACATCCCTGCAGAGATGAGGGAAGAAGCCATGGGGATTGAGCTGCAGAGACAGGGGGCTTTTCCCCAGAAATGTAGCAGGAAGAGGCTCTGAAGCAGGCAAAGGTCATGGCAGAACAGCAGGGGTGGATCTGAGCCCATGGAGGTGCCCCAGAGACCCAACCCTTTCTCCAGCCATACCTGTCCAGATGCGTGAGGCGGGGGCTTCCGCCTCCGCCCAGCCTTACGTGCCTCGTCCTCCTCCTCCTCCTCCTCCGTGCTGGCAGGGGGTGCAGCAGCAGGGGTGGTGGTGGTGGTGCTGCCCCCTGAAAAGGCACTGGGCAGGCTCATGGGCATCTGCAGGGACTCCATGCTGCGGTGCAGGCCAGAGAGCTTGGGGTACATCCTGCCCTCCTTGGGGACGCTGAAGCCGCCCATGAGCTCCAGGCCCTGAGAGAAGCTGGCTGAGTTAATGTTGAGGATGGGGGCAGGGCTGGGGCTGAAGCAGGGTGCCAGGTGCCCGCCAGTTGGGTGCAGGTCCTGGAGCTTGGCAGTGTGAGGGGGGTGCAGCTCGCTGGAGGAGGGCAAGTCTAGGCTGTTGGAGTTGACTTTGTCCAAGTTGGCCAGGGTGGGAGGCTTCGCATAGGTCTTGGCAGCCGTTCTGGGGGGAGAAAATGGGTAAGGAAACAGGTGAGACTCAGGTGCTGGTGCTGAGCACAGCCATGCCAGGCACCTGCTGCCCTCAGGTGTGGAAGCACCATACCTAAGAGGTGTGGAGGGCAGCTCAGCCACCTTGGCCACTGGCGGGAGGTTGGCCTGGGCTTTCGGAGTGCTCTCAGGTGAGCTGACACTCTTCAGTGTCCCGCACTCAGAGTCAAGTGCCACTGCCTTGGCCTTGGCCTTCTCCTTCTCGCGGTCCGTCTGGTTCACAGGGGCCGGTGTCCCACGGCCAGCGCTGATCTTGGACGGCTCCTTGAGCCGTGACACCGAGATGCTGCCCTGCTTGGTGCTCAGCATGCTGGGGTCTATGCTGCTGCTGACCGGCCGGGCTGCGCTGCGGCCACCAGTCACGCTCATGGAGCTGGACTTGGCGGGCCGGGGCAGGCTGCGGTACTGGATGTTAGTGCGAGCCCCTGGGGCCAGGAACCCAGGCTCAGCTGCGTTGGAGACATCCAGGCTTGTTTTCCTCCCACTGACTGGCTTGACGGGGATGCCAGAGCTCTTCTGGATCTTGCCGAGTGTGGCTGAGCCCCCAGCCTGCATGACAGTGGCAGTGCCGGTGGCAGGGGCTGGTTTCTTGTAGCCAAAGGAGCTGGAGGACGAGGGGCGCGTGAGCCCCGACGGGGGCTTCTTGGCATCAGCGGTGCGGTCCCGGCCGGCATCGGAGGAGGAGCGCTGCAGGCCCGTGCTCTTCACAGACAGCTTGCTCTTGTCAGTGGCTTTGGTCTCGGGCTTGCCTAGTGGCAGGGAAGGACAGGTTAGTGTCCCGGGAGGCTTTGGGGACATTTGGGAGTGAACTAGCCCAGACAGGACATGTGCATCAGAGATGCAGGGATGTGATGGAGAAGAAGAGACATGCCAGGTCCCTGGTGCACCCAGTGAGCCCCCAGCCTGGCATGTGGACTCGAGGCCATGGAGCAGGCACAGACCCCCAGCCTGCCTGCAGGGACACACAGCCCTGTACCCCCCTCCAGCCACGGCCAGCTCCTGGGACTGAGCACAGCCACAGGGCATCCCATGGCTGATGTGCTCTGGAAGGTGCACAAAGACATCACCTAACCCTCTCCCTGTTGGAGAAGATGGACCCTGCCCAAACTGGGTCTCACCTGCCACTTTGAGGGTGCTCTGGGCTGTATGAGTGATGGGGGAGGTCACAGCCACTGGAGGGGTCTTGCCCTTCTTGAGGGAGCCCGGGGTGCCCAGACTGACAGGCTTCTTCAGCTCACCGCCCTTGGGCCCCTCCTCACCGCCATCCGAGGGCTCCCGCCGCCACTTGGAGGAGCCATGCTCCATCTTGAGGCTACTGCTGTCGTAGTCCAGCTTCTTGGGCGCCTTCTCCTCACCCTCACCGTACCAGCTCAGCCCACTCTCCACCAGCGAGCGCTTCTCCGAGTCTGTGCGCAGCTGTGGGCAGAGCAGAGTCAGGGGTGCTCCTGGCACCCACCCCAAACCCATCCCCAGAAAGCCAGCTGGGAGAAGGATGCACCAGACACCCTGTGCCATGCCTGTTTTCCAAAACTGGCATACTCCATCCCCTCTTTCCTGCCGAGGCAGTGGCACCAGGTCAGAACCAGTGCCAGGAATGGTCTGGGTGCTGCTGGCACCTACCGCTATGGCCGAGTTCCTGCGTGAGGTGGTGGGGGTGGAGGGCAGGGAGTTGAGCGAGGAGCTGGCGTTGAACTCCTCTGAGCTGAGGTTGTCAGAGGCATCGCTGAGGCCGCTACTGATGGAGCTGCTCTCATCCCAGCTGCAAGGGACAGACAGCATCAGATCCCTGCCCAGCCCAGTGGGTCCCACCACCTCCAGGAGCCTCCCTGCTACAGGGGCTGCTGGGGCAAAAACCAGCTCCTGGTAGTGCCCATGGCAGGAACAAGGTAGGAAAGGGCCACAGCTGTCTCCAGTCAGCCCGGGATGGGGTCAGTGTACCACTGGCACACAAGGCCCAGTGACCCTACATCTCCCCATTAGGGCCCTGTGGGGGCTTTGGGGGGGATAGAGGGTACCTGTGCAGGGCAGGGAAGTCAGCACCCACACCACAGGGCTGGCAGCGCCACAGCTGGCACCAAACCCCCAGCGACGCGCCCCACCAAGAGGGCTGGGATTGTCGGAAAGGGTAGGACCGCTGGAATAAACAAACCAGCCGTCCCAAAGCATCCACCCTTCCTTGGGTGGCCCCCACCCACTCCACCCACCTCCCCCTCTCCA